TTATTTTTTGTTTTATAAGTCACAGCACAAAGTGAGCACACCCAATGGCCATAGGTATTTAAGTGAATTGGCACTCTCAGTTAGGCATTTTGGTCAATTGAAAAACTTTCCAGAAACAGAATCTTTACCCTCACTCCTCCAACGAAAACCCAACTGGCTCAGCAACATGACTGAAATACCCTTACTGCTTTCAACAGCAGACACAGCTATTTTAAGCGAGTATCCGCAACCTGAGCTTACACGCAAAGCAGGGAAGCTTCGCCTCCCACAGTCAATAATAATAACAGGTTTCGTGTGCCCATTGCCGCATTTATTGCGTGCCACTCACTTTAATTATTTATAAAAGACATCTTTTGTCATTTCCTGTTGGTAAAATTAGTAAATTTATTAATTTCTTTTTAGTTTCTATTTCTTTATAAATTACATGATAAACCCAAACCGTTTTTACACTTGGTTGGATAGTACAGTTTCATTTGGCTGACTGTGTGAAATTCTAATCATTAGCCCAACCTTTCCTAACAAAAATATCACCAATGAGAAAGAGAGAGAATTTCTGACCAAATTTTGGTACACTCCTACATGTCACTACTATTAATTAAAAGTTAATATTTTACATTAAATATATTTAAGTAGTTTTAAAATTCTAAGAATAACATCTTATTAAATTTATTTATTTCTTTTCACGCTTTTTAAATTCATTATTTAAATTTTCCAGTTTTGTATTTTAATATTATTTTTCCCTATAAATTATTAAATCACGTATTAAAATACTGATTGAAACAAAAATGATATAATATTATTATCTTGTACCATTTCTCAACTTATTCATCTTGAAATTAGAAACACAAAATTTTACTTTTAAAATATTTTCTGAAAAAAAGTTGACAATTTTAATGCTGTTATTAAAATTGACTAATATATTCATAAAAAATAATACATATTTTTATATATTGTATGAAAATGTTTGTGTTAAAATTTTTTGATATCAAATATGAAAATTTTAAATAAAAGAGACCATTTGCTCTTAGTTGGATGGAATACTACTCACCTTTATATTATATATATAAAAAGTTCATAAAAATCAGCCCTTATTTATATATCATGTGTATCTTCTGCTTACATTAATAATATCACATTTTATCCCTTTTGATTATGTCAGGTCGCAATTACCCTATTAGACTTGTTTACCAAATTCATTTCCTATCTAATGGGAAAAACCCTGAAACACCTTTCTTCATGTGACAACGGGACTTAACTGAACAAGGACAAACCCGTCATTTCATCTTCTAGAGCTTAACTAACTGTAAGGTAGGTGAGAGTTATCCTGTATAAGCCGGCCGTTGAACAGAAAAAGTACACATGCCCCTGGAGATTTCTGATTCGATGGCGTTCACGTACTTTGGACGGTTGCAAGGAAACGACGAAGAAAATCAACGGTTCGATGTCAAAGTTCGATATACAATTGACTTCAATCTTATCTCACGTGATCATTCCTTCTTCCTGCCTCTTTCTTTTTATCTGACCGCTGCAGGAACGAGACCTCATCGATAATACCGTCCCAACACAATTACCAAATTACCCTTCTCGACAGTGTAGTAATCACCGGCTCTTCAATTCTGTACCCGCCAATAAATAAATCCCACTTAACAGTAACGGCGATTCCGTCAATACACGGAACGGGAAACATTCAATCGCGTTTACACCGAAACGCGTCTTCGAATTTGGACGGCACGTTTTGTTTTCGTTGAACCACCTAATAACAACCACACCACCACTTCCCAAACTTTTTTTAATTTAATTATTATTTAATAATAAAATGAATAATTAAAGTATATTTTTTATGCGGTTTCCTGAACTAATAAAGAGATAATTGCTTTAGAGTATAAAACTATAAATTATCCCTTCCTTACCCTTTTTCGGTTTTCTAAGCATTCGCTCCCTCTCTTTCATCATCCACTATTTCTCTCCGTTTTCTGGTCCAGCCGGAAAACTTCTCCCGTTCGCCGGAAAACCGCTTTTGTTTTCGGCGTCCCTTTTTTGGCGTTTCCAGAGGAAGCTGATTTCGGTCTTCTTATTCTCGCGTCGGCATTCTCTCTCAATTTGCTTTTGTTGCTTCTACGAGGCGTTGGATCTCTCTGTCACGCGGTTTTAGCGTTCTATTCGACGTTCTTCGAGAATGTGGCGAGCCTGGTTGTTCTTCGAGGCTCGCGCTTAATCTGCATCATTCTGGATCGTTGTTTAGGGTTTAGATTCGGATTTTTATCGTGATTGCTTTTTCTGGCTGTTCTGTGCACAAGTTAACGAAGACGGAGGCCTACAGGGAGCGACTTCGTAATGAAATGGTAGGCTAATCGTGTTTTATTCAGAATTTTTTTTTGTATTGGCTTTTTATATGGTTTTTGATTCGCTGATGCTTGGAACTCTCCTGATAATGTATATTCTTCTGCTCTTCGTTCAGATCTCGGACATTGTTACGATATTTTACAATTTAGATGTGATTCCTTTTGTTTTGTTTGCTTGAATAATGAATTTTTCGAATCACGCCTTGTCATATTTTTATTTTCCCCTCGTTCTTGTTTTTCATGTTTAGGCTTCAGAGTGTGATATACAATTGATGTTCTTGAGGGATGCTTAAGGTGCATTTTGTAAGTGTGGGTGTTTTTTCTCTAATAAGTAAAACATGGTTCTTCTTTGAAGATCATTGGTAGAATAGAAAAAAGAGCATCACGGTTTTTCTCTTTTTCTTTGTTCACCAGTTTCTGGAATAGTATTTTAGAAGATTAAGTTTAACAGAGGAGATTAATAATTTTCTTGGCTTATATTTTTCTTTCCCTTTTCGTGTTGAAATTTATGTGATTAGAGCTACTTTTTTTTTTTAATTGGTTTATCCTAAGGTGGAAATAGTGATGTTGAGAGGAGTAAACTATTCAAATTTCAGCGCATGCATTTGTTGAAAATTTCTGTAAGAATGTTTTTGTTGACTCTTTGCTTTGCGTGGTTCTAAATTGGGATAAGGTATTTTTGCTCAAATTTTCCCTTCTTAGCGGATACTTTTCAGAATGAGGTGATTTATGTTTGACTCAGAATGACCCTGTTCGATAATGTTCCCGACTTTGGTTGCCTCATAACGAACGACCCCTCTTCTAGTTATTGACTCCCTAATGGTAATATACCGTAGAAATTCGAATTAATTTCGGCCCTGGGATTGTTCTAGTTTGCTTGAGTTCAAACTTTAGTCGTTCACTCCTTCGTTTCAAGCTGGATTGACACTCTTTTGGTTCATTTGAAGATTTACGGGGCAATGCTTTGCATGGCCTTTTGTCACTTTAGTTCAACGATCCAGTTATGCTTACATAACATATATTTCAGTCTGTTAATTTCTTATTACTATCCATCTATTTTCACATCATTGTGACTTAATTTTTGTTTTCATGTGTGCATTTTACTGTTAAAAACCTGAATGTGATTTGTTTGTTATACAGGTGGAAAGAAGAGTGACTTTATCTAAGGAAGTTAGGAATGGGTTAGAATTTTTGAAGCGTAAAAGGCTTCAGCGTGCACAATCTGTCACTGCTACCCAAACAAATATTGCTAACATGATGAACAGAAGTGGAGGAGATGCTTTAAGAGACTCAGCATCATGTGGCATGAGATTGCATGGCAATGCTGATGTCTTTTCCAAACGAAAGGTGGATAAGTTTGATACAAATGACCTGGACTGGACTGAAACAATTCCAGAGTGTCCTGTGTATTCTCCAACAAAGGAGGAATTTGAGGATCCTTTGGTTTATTTGCAAAAGATAGCTCCAGAAGCTTCTAAATATGGTATTGAGTTTTCGTCTCTTGAATATTTTATTTCTTCTAGTGTGTATTGACTTTAGTATTTTGGATTAATATTATATATTAGTGAGCAGTATGTAGCTTTGACAAACTCACGACATGGCAGGGCTTTCCAGTGCTTGCCCTTTAAATCCTGCTTTTGTTTTTGTTGAGAGGGTATTGATCATTAGTGATGTAAAAGATAAACTCATTGAGTGAGGAGGATACAAAATGTAAGATTAACTGAAGGATGATCATTCTTTCTGTACCTCAAACTTTAAAAGGATTCTAAACAAAATGGAATGTAGAAGTCTGACTAAGGTCATGGTGTGGAGACATCAATTAAATGATTTTTCTCTCAATCTTTTGTCATCATATATCTAGCGTCATACTCACTAGTTTTATTCATTTCCTGAAGTATCCTATATTTGTATTTTTTTGAAACTTTTGGTTTAAATGAGAGGATTGTCATTGATTATTTCGAATTTGATTGTAAAAGTTATTGGTTCAGGATGATGAAATGAAGTAGCCTCCTATTATATTGTATATTGGGGAGGGGATGGATGAAACCAATTGAGTAGTAGAACTGACCTAGCTGTTTCTTTTTGAATCTTGTAACAAATTCCAGGTATATGCAAGATTATCTCTCCTTTGAGCGCTTCAGTACCTGCTGGGGTTGTATTAATGAAGGAGAAAGCAGGTTTCAAGTTTACAACTAGAGTGCAGCCTCTTCGCCTTGCTGAATGGGATTCTGAAGACAAAGTCACGTTTTTTATGAGTGGAAGGTCGGTTTCTCTACTTATTATGTTAATATTTGCATTATGTAATTTATAATTGCGTTATTGCCTTTTTGATTAATAAATTGTAATTTAAACAGAAATTATACATTTCGTGATTTTGAGAAAATGGCAAACAAAGTATTTGCTAGAAGATATTGCAGTGCTGGATGCCTTCCTGCCACATACTTGGAAAAAGAGTTTTGGAATGAAATTGGTTGTGGGAAGATGGAAAGTGTTGAATATGCATGTGATGTTGATGGCAGTGCCTTTTCATCTTCTCCCACTGACCAGCTTGGGAACAGCAAATGGAATTTGAAGGTGTTAATTTTATTGGTGTATCCCTATTTGTTTAGATATCCTTTTCTTTCTTTATAGAAGAGTAGAATATNTCCTTACCCTTTTTCGGTTTTCTAAGCATTCGCTCCCTCTCTTTCATCATCCACTATTTCTCTCCGTTTTCTGGTCCAGCCGGAAAACTTCTCCCGTTCGCCGGAAAACCGCTTTTGTTTTCGGCGTCCCTTTTTTGGCGTTTCCAGAGGAAGCTGATTTCGGTCTTCTTATTCTCGCGTCGGCATTCTCTCTCAATTTGCTTTTGTTGCTTCTACGAGGCGTTGGATCTCTCTGTCACGCGGTTTTAGCGTTCTATTCGACGTTCTTCGAGAATGTGGCGAGCCTGGTTGTTCTTCGAGGCTCGCGCTTAATCTGCATCATTCTGGATCGTTGTTTAGGGTTTAGATTCGGATTTTTATCGTGATTGCTTTTTCTGGCTGTTCTGTGCACAAGTTAACGAAGACGGAGGCCTACAGGGAGCGACTTCGTAATGAAATGGTAGGCTAATCGTGTTTTATTCAGAATTTTTTTTTGTATTGGCTTTTTATATGGTTTTTGATTCGCTGATGCTTGGAACTCTCCTGATAATGTATATTCTTCTGCTCTTCGTTCAGATCTCGGACATTGTTACGATATTTTACAATTTAGATGTGATTCCTTTTGTTTTGTTTGCTTGAATAATGAATTTTTCGAATCACGCCTTGTCATATTTTTATTTTCCCCTCGTTCTTGTTTTTCATGTTTAGGCTTCAGAGTGTGATATACAATTGATGTTCTTGAGGGATGCTTAAGGTGCATTTTGTAAGTGTGGGTGTTTTTTCTCTAATAAGTAAAACATGGTTCTTCTTTGAAGATCATTGGTAGAATAGAAAAAAGAGCATCACGGTTTTTCTCTTTTTCTTTGTTCACCAGTTTCTGGAATAGTATTTTAGAAGATTAAGTTTAACAGAGGAGATTAATAATTTTCTTGGCTTATATTTTTCTTTCCCTTTTCGTGTTGAAATTTATGTGATTAGAGCTACTTTTTTTTTTTAATTGGTTTATCCTAAGGTGGAAATAGTGATGTTGAGAGGAGTAAACTATTCAAATTTCAGCGCATGCATTTGTTGAAAATTTCTGTAAGAATGTTTTTGTTGACTCTTTGCTTTGCGTGGTTCTAAATTGGGATAAGGTATTTTTGCTCAAATTTTCCCTTCTTAGCGGATACTTTTCAGAATGAGGTGATTTATGTTTGACTCAGAATGACCCTGTTCGATAATGTTCCCGACTTTGGTTGCCTCATAACGAACGACCCCTCTTCTAGTTATTGACTCCCTAATGGTAATATACCGTAGAAATTCGAATTAATTTCGGCCCTGGGATTGTTCTAGTTTGCTTGAGTTCAAACTTTAGTCGTTCACTCCTTCGTTTCAAGCTGGATTGACACTCTTTTGGTTCATTTGAAGATTTACGGGGCAATGCTTTGCATGGCCTTTTGTCACTTTAGTTCAACGATCCAGTTATGCTTACATAACATATATTTCAGTCTGTTAATTTCTTATTACTATCCATCTATTTTCACATCATTGTGACTTAATTTTTGTTTTCATGTGTGCATTTTACTGTTAAAAACCTGAATGTGATTTGTTTGTTATACAGGTGGAAAGAAGAGTGACTTTATCTAAGGAAGTTAGGAATGGGTTAGAATTTTTGAAGCGTAAAAGGCTTCAGCGTGCACAATCTGTCACTGCTACCCAAACAAATATTGCTAACATGATGAACAGAAGTGGAGGAGATGCTTTAAGAGACTCAGCATCATGTGGCATGAGATTGCATGGCAATGCTGATGTCTTTTCCAAACGAAAGGTGGATAAGTTTGATACAAATGACCTGGACTGGACTGAAACAATTCCAGAGTGTCCTGTGTATTCTCCAACAAAGGAGGAATTTGAGGATCCTTTGGTTTATTTGCAAAAGATAGCTCCAGAAGCTTCTAAATATGGTATTGAGTTTTCGTCTCTTGAATATTTTATTTCTTCTAGTGTGTATTGACTTTAGTATTTTGGATTAATATTATATATTAGTGAGCAGTATGTAGCTTTGACAAACTCACGACATGGCAGGGCTTTCCAGTGCTTGCCCTTTAAATCCTGCTTTTGTTTTTGTTGAGAGGGTATTGATCATTAGTGATGTAAAAGATAAACTCATTGAGTGAGGAGGATACAAAATGTAAGATTAACTGAAGGATGATCATTCTTTCTGTACCTCAAACTTTAAAAGGATTCTAAACAAAATGGAATGTAGAAGTCTGACTAAGGTCATGGTGTGGAGACATCAATTAAATGATTTTTCTCTCAATCTTTTGTCATCATATATCTAGCGTCATACTCACTAGTTTTATTCATTTCCTGAAGTATCCTATATTTATATTTTTTTGAAACTTTTGGTTTAAATGAGAGGATTGTCATTGATTATTTCGAATTTGATTGTAAAAGTTATTGGTTCAGGATGATGAAATGAAGTAGCCTCCTATTATATTGTATATTGGGGAGGGGATGGATGAAACCAATTGAGTAGTAGAACTGACCTAGCTGTTTCTTTTTGAATCTTGTAACAAATTCCAGGTATATGCAAGATTATCTCTCCTTTGAGCGCTTCAGTACCTGCTGGGGTTGTATTAATGAAGGAGAAAGCAGGTTTCAAGTTTACAACTAGAGTGCAGCCTCTTCGCCTTGCTGAATGGGATTCTGAAGACAAAGTCACGTTTTTTATGAGTGGAAGGTCGGTTTCTCTACTTATTATGTTAATATTTGCATTATGTAATTTATAATTGCGTTATTGCCTTTTTGATTAATAAATTGTAATTTAAACAGAAATTATACATTTCGTGATTTTGAGAAAATGGCAAACAAAGTATTTGCTAGAAGATATTGCAGTGCTGGATGCCTTCCTGCCACATACTTGGAAAAAGAGTTTTGGAATGAAATTGGTTGTGGGAAGATGGAAAGTGTTGAATATGCATGTGATGTTGATGGCAGTGCCTTTTCATCTTCTCCCACTGACCAGCTTGGGAACAGCAAATGGAATTTGAAGGTGTTAATTTTATTGGTGTATCCCTATTTGTTTAGATATCCTTTTCTTTCTTTATAGAAGAGTAGAATATGTGACAAAGATAACTTATTCAACTATTCCTTCTGTATGATCTCAGAAACTATCAAGGTTGCCCAAATCAAGTTTACGGCTCTTGGAAACATTAATTCCGGTATGATAGTTTCGTTTAACGGTTAAGTCATCTTTGCAATATACATTTTACATGACTTCATATTGGATTTTCATTTCAGGGAGTAACCGAGCCCATGTTGTACATTGGAATGCTGTTCAGCATGTTTGCTTGGCATGTGGAAGATCATTATTTGTACAGGTAAATGTTGCTTATTTTCAGAATAAGTTCATAATAACATTATCACAACTGAAGGCTTTCTTCTTTAGTTGATTATTTAATGATATTAATATATTACATTGTTATGACAGCATTAATTATCATCACTGTGGCGCATCCAAAACATGGTACGGTATTCCAGGTCATGCAGCTTTGGAATTTGAAAGGGTGGTGAGAGAACATGTGTACACTAATGATATTTTGTCAAGTGATGGGGAAGATGGTGCATTTGATGTTCTTCTGGGGAAAACAACTCTATTTCCACCAAATATTTTGTTAGAGCATGAAGTTCCTGTCTACAAGGCCGTTCAAAAGCCTGGGGAGTTTATAATAACTTTCCCTAGAGCATATCATGCTGGCTTCAGTCATGGTTAGATTTGCTCATTTCTATTTTGTAGTTCCAGGAATTCTATCGCACCTTCTACTCCCACCTATTCACTGCTTGTGAAATAAATAAATTAAAAACTGATCCGTGTAATATTGGTTACAATTGTAGGTTTCAATTGTGGAGAAGCAGTGAATTTTGCAATTGGTGATTGGTTTCCGTTAGGGGCTATTGCTAGCAGAAGATATGCACTTCTTAACAGGGTTCCTTTACTGCCCCATGAAGAACTTCTATGCAAAGAAGCAATGCTTCTCCGTACATGCTTGGAACTTGAAGATTCGGATTTTCCCTCTTCAGACTCTCTTTCTCATAATAGCATTAAGATTTCATTTGTTAACTTGATGCGATTCCAGCATTGCGCGCGATGGTTTCTAACGAAATCAAGGGCTTGTATAAGCGTCTCTTCTCATTCCCATGGCACAATTCTCTGTAGCCTTTGCAAACGTGACTGTTACGTAGCTTATGTTGATTGCAACTGTCATATGCATCCTGTATGCCTACGTCACGGTAAGCTTTGCTCATTATCATTTACTATGTTATGTATGTTTGGTTTATTGGATCCCATGCTTTGCTTAATATCATTTACCATATATGATAATCTCATGGATTTCAAATTGTTTCTTTAATATCCTATGGGATTATAATAGGAAAAAAAATATTATCTTGTTTCTGGACTAAAGAATAAATTATGGACACAATGAATTCTTTACTTGATTATTACATGCATTTTCTATGGTACAATATTCTCATTTTGTGTTTTTAATTTTTGAGAATTCAGATGTTGATTCTCTTGACTTCACCTGTGGGAGCAAACACACACTTTATTTGAGGGAGGATATTATGGATATGGAAGCCGCAGCCAAGATGTTTGAGCAGGAAGATGGGATATCACATGAGATAAGGAAGCAAACCAATAGTGGTCAAAACATGTATGCATATCCTTTGTCAAATATGTTTCAGAGAGCCGAGGCAAATGGATACATTCCTTATTGTGAGCTAAAACTTGATTCTGTTGTTGAATTTTATACAACTCCAGAGCACTCAACAAATAATCAAGAATACAGTACACAGAATCAATCTGTCTTTGTACATTGCTCTGAAAATCAAATACCATTGGTGTCTGACGTTTCCTTTTCTTCAGCCACATCCACTCTTTCTGAATCCCTTGAGAGCTTCTCTACTCCCAAAAATGTAAGTCATCTGAATATAGTTTTTGAATATTGACCTTGCATATTATTCCATTGAGATTATTGAATGGTTATTATTGATTCTGGAACTAAACTTTCCGTTAATTATTTATTCTGCTAACAGGCTGAAGGGCATACAAATATCAATTTAGGAGGAGGTATTGTTGATTTTGAGGATTTTGGTGAAAGAATACCCAACAGTGCATGTGAATCTTCGTTATCCCCTGCTGTGTGCCATGAAAGCTCGATTAAACCACAGAGTGTTGTTCAGAGAGTTGATACAAAGCCCATCGCGGACGAGAGTGATTCTGATTCAGAGATGTTTAGGGTAAAGCGCCCTTCTTCTCTGAAAGCAGAGAGGAGAAATATGAATGATGTCACGTCTTCAAAGCAGACTGAGCAGCAGGTATTTTTCAAATATTTAGTTTATTTATTCATTTATATCATTGCATTGCTATTTTATCACTCAGCGCTCAGCTTACATTCCCAGTGTTTCATCTTTCCTAAATGGATTATCAGATTATGCTATATGAATGGACCATGATGATATTGTAATCTATGAGCAGGGACTAAAACGGCTGAAGAAAGTCCTTCCTGAAGGAAGGAGTGATCAACCAATGGATTTCAGAACTCAGGAGTTAAGTTACAAACATGTTAGCCATAAAAGTCGTGTTCAAGTCTCCTCCAGGGACAGATTTGCAAGGGGTAATGGCATTCCCATTTCGATAAGATATAAGAAGTTAGGAAACGAGGAAATAAGTATGCAACGAGATCACCACCAACACCGGAAAGATAGGTTCTTGCAGCAACAGACATTTAGGGAACCGCCTTCCATTGAGATTGAGCCAAAGCGCCTTAAAGTCCGAGGCCCTTCGTTTTTAGGCTTAGAGAGCAGATTGAATTGATGTTTCAAGTTGGCTCGAAAGGATTGTGAAACGCGATCAAGAGTCTGAATTTGCTAACTTCATTTAGCTTATGGGCTTTCTAACAATACACTAAATCCAAATGATTGATTAAGGGAGGAAGCAGCGGCAAGATATTAACGTATTAGGATATGAAAATTACATTCTTTGTGCAGGCCAACATTTGGAATCTGCACGGGTGGTGATCCTTTGGGTTCTCACGCCGAGGTGTTTTTCCAACTTTGGTTGGTGAACCTGACTTGCAAAGTTAGGACTTAGAAATCGGGTTAGCGACATTTATTTCCATGTAAATTTGTATTTTTCTTCTCACCTGTTGTTTAGGTCTTGTTAGGAACGTGGTCTCCATTGTTTTCTCATTAAATTCTATCAGCTGCTTCCCCTTCTGATGTTAATCCATTCTTTTTGTAGCAATAGGTCCTTTGTACCTAGAACTACTTGAATAAAGTTCAAGGAAATTTCTCATTTTCTCTCAATACTACCTTGCAAATTTGTTGTGCTGATCAAATTTGGTATCGTCTTTTGTAACTAATGATCACCTGAGAAAGAAATCATTTTATGTAATTTACCATTCTTTAGCACATTACTAATTATCAGGAAACATTTAGTGGATTATATAACTGCTAATTTTCCCTAGCCCAGTTGTCAAGATCAACCGCTGATGAAAAAGTTTCATATTGAATGATGATTGTACTTTTTGGTTTAATAACACGCCATTGGAGTAAGTTGTCGTGGGTAGGTAGCTCTATTATGGCAGAGGTCACATGTTTCTGAGACTATTCACATAAAATAAGATAACATTTTTATATGTAACATCTTTTTTTCTTTCTTTTGTTTAGTACTTTACATATTTAGCCTTCGAACCTGTAACAATTGTTTAACCGGAAAATTTGTTTAATTGATCTATATAAACAGTGATAACTTCTTCCAAAAATACTAATTTTGTGAAAAATCAAACTTATTTTTGTGAGAAAACGATTACCATATTTTCTGAAAAGGGTATTTATTTTATTTGTATCCAGCTGTTCCATAGCCACCGGTGCACAACTGTAATAAAAATGTTTAAGTAATATATTTGTTTTAAGGCATTTGAATGTTTTCTTCGTTTTATTTTCGTATTTTGTTCCAGTAATGTTTATTCAAATGTGAACAATATTATCTTGTTATCAAGGAATGCTTTAAGAAAAACTAAATCAAAGCATTAAGACAAATATGTATAAAACAAATAATAATTACTTTTAAGCTATTAAAATATTTAGCAAACTATGTTTTATATCCTTTAACTTTATGTTCTCAGATTACTATTTTGTAAGATCCAAAGATTTCCTTTAATTCGGTATATTGGTCAGCTGGTTTCATTTGATGATAAATCAGTAACTCTTAGGCATTTAATTTATTTTTGAATATACAAGTTTTATATACGCATAAATAATATCCAAACTTTAAATCATTATGTATTAAAAACCAAATCCAAATTCCAATATACTGCGACTCTTNCGTTCAAAAGCCTGGGGAGTTTATAATAACTTTCCCTAGAGCATATCATGCTGGCTTCAGTCATGGTTAGATTTGCTCATTTCTATTTTGTAGTTCCAGGAATTCTATCGCACCTTCTACTCCCACCTATTCACTGCTTGTGAAATAAATAAATTAAAAACTGATCCGTGTAATATTGGTTACAATTGTAGGTTTCAATTGTGGAGAAGCAGTGAATTTTGCAATTGGTGATTGGTTTCCGTTAGGGGCTATTGCTAGCAGAAGATATGCACTTCTTAACAGGGTTCCTTTACTGCCCCATGAAGAACTTCTATGCAAAGAAGCAATGCTTCTCCGTACATGCTTGGAACTTGAAGATTCGGATTTTCCCTCTTCAGACTCTCTTTCTCATAATAGCATTAAGATTTCATTTGTTAACTTGATGCGATTCCAGCATTGCGCGCGATGGTTTCTAACGAAATCAAGGGCTTGTATAAGCGTCTCTTCTCATTCCCATGGCACAATTCTCTGTAGCCTTTGCAAACGTGACTGTTACGTAGCTTATGTTGATTGCAACTGTCATATGCATCCTGTATGCCTACGTCACGGTAAGCTTTGCTCATTATCATTTACTATGTAATGTATGTTTGGTTTATTGGATCCCATGCTTTGCTTAATATCATTTACCATATATGATAATCTCATGGATTTCAAATTGTTTCTTTAATATCCTATGGGATTATAATAGGAAAAAAAATATTATCTTGTTTCTGGACTAAAAAATAAATTATGGACACAATGAATTCTTTACTTGATTATTACATGCATTTTCTATGGTACAATATTCTCATTTTGTGTTTTTAATTTTTGAGAATTCAGATGTTGATTCTCTTGACTTCACCTGTGGGAGCAAACACACACTTTATTTGAGGGAGGATATTATGGATATGGAAGCCGCAGCCAAGATGTTTGAGCAGGAAGATGGGATATCACATGAGATAAGGAAGCAAACCAATAGTGGTCAAAACATGTATGCATATCCTTTGTCAAATATGTTTCAGAGAGCCGAGGCAAATGGATACATTCCTTATTGTGAGCTAAAACTTGATTCTGTTGTTGAATTTTATACAACTCCAGAGCACTCAACAAATAATCAAGAATACAGTACACAGAATCAATCTGTCTTTGTACATTGCTCTGAAAATCAAATACCATTGGTGTCTGACGTTTCCTTTTCTTCAGCCACATCCACTCTTTCTGAATCCCTTGAGAGCTTCTCTACTCCCAAAAATGTAAGTCATCTGAATATAGTTTTTGAATATTGACCTTGCATATTATTCCATTGAGATTATTGAATGGTTATTATTGATTCTGGAACTAAACTTTCCGTTAATTATTTATTCTGCTAACAGGCTGAAGGGCATACAAATATCAATTTAGGAGGAGGTATTGTTGATTTTGAGGATTTTGGTGAAAGAATACCCAACAGTGCATGTGAATCTTCGTTATCCCCTGCTGTGTGCCATGAAAGCTCGATTAAACCACAGAGTGTTGTTCAGAGAGTTGATACAAAGCCCATCGCGGACGAGAGTGATTCTGATTCAGAGATGTTTAGGGTAAAGCGCCCTTCTTCTCTGAAAGCAGAGAGGAGAAATATGAATGATGTCACGTCTTCAAAGCAGACTGAGCAGCAGGTATTTTTCAAATATTTAGTTTATTTATTCATTTATATCATTGCTATTTTATCACTCAGCGCTCAGCTTACATTCCCAGTGTTTCATCTTTCCTAAATGGATTATCAGATTATGCTATATGAATGGACCATGATGATATTGTAATCTATGAGCAGGGACTAAAACGGCTGAAGAAAGTCCTTCCTGAAGGAAGGAGTGATCAACCAATGGATTTCAGAACTCAGGAGTTAAGTTACAAACATGTTAGCCATAAAAGTCGTGTTCAAGTCTCCTCCAGGGACAGATTTGCAAGGGGTAATGGCATTCCCATTTCGATAAGATATAAGAAGTTAGGAAACGAGGAAATAAGTATGCAACGAGATCACCACCAACACCGGAAAGATAGGTTCTTGCAGCAACAGACATTTAGGGAACCGCCTTCCATTGAGATTGAGCCAAAGCGCCTTAAAGTCCGAGGCCCTTCGTTTTTAGGCTTAGAGAGCAGATTGAATTGATGTTTCAAGTTGGCTCGAAAGGATTGTGAAACGCGATCAAGAGTCTGAATTTGCTAACTTCATTTAGCTTATGGGCTTTCTAACAATACACTAAATCCAAATGATTGATTAAGGGAGGAAGCAGCGGCAAGATATTAACGTATTAGGATATGAAAATTACATTCTTTGTGCAGGCCAACATTTGGAATCTGCACGGGTGGTGATCCTTTGGGTTCTCACGCCGAGGTGTTTTTCCAACTTTGGTTGGTGAACCTGACTTGCAAAGTTAGGACTTAGAAATCGGGTTAGCGACATTTATTTCCATGTAAATTTGTATTTTTCTTCTCACCTGTTGTTTAGGTCTTGTTAGGAACGTGGTCTCCATTGTTTTCTCATTAAATTCTATCAGCTGCTTCCCCTTCTGATGTTAATCCATTCTTTTTGTAGCAATAGGTCCTTTGTACCTAGAACTACTTGAATAAAGTTCAAGGAAATTTCTCATTTTCTCTCAATACTACCTTGCAAATTTGTTGTGCTGATCAAATTTGGTATCGTCTTTTGTAACTAATGATCACCTGAGAAAGAAATCATTTAATGTAATTTACCATTCTTTAGCACATTACTAATTATCAGGAAACATTTAGTGGATTATATAACTGCTAATTTTCCCTAGCCCAGTTGTCAAGATCAACCGCTGATGAAAAAGTTTAATATTGAATGATGATTGTACTTTTTGGTTTAATAACACGCCATTGGAGTAAGTTGTCGTGGGTAGGTAGCTCTATTATGGCAGAGGTCACATGTTTCTGAGACTATTCACATAAAATAAGATAACATTTTTATATGTAACATCTTTTTTTCTTTCTTTTGTTTAGTACTTTACATATTTAACCTTCGAACCTGTAACAATTGTTTAACCGGAAAATTTGTTTAATTGATCTATATAAACAGTGATAACTTCTTCCAAAAATACTAATTTTGTGAAAAATCAAACTTATTTTTGTGAGAAAACGATTACCATATTTTCTGAAAAGGGTATTTATTTTATTTGTATCCAGCTGTTCCATAGCCACCGGTGCACAACTGTAATAAAAATGTTAAAGTAATATATTTGTTTTAAGGCATTTGAATGTTTTCTTCGTTTTATTTTCGTATTTTGTTCCAGTAATGTTTATTCAAATGTGAACAATATTATCTTGTTATCAAGGAATGCTTTAAGAAAAACTANTCTTTTTTTCTTTCTTTTGTTTAGTACTTTACATATTTAGCCTTCGAACCTGTAACAATTGTTTAACCGGAAAATTTGTTTAATTGATCTATATAAACAGTGATAACTTCTTCCAAAAATACTAATTTTGTGAAAAATCAAACTTATTTTTGTGAGAAAACGATTACCATATTTTCTGAAAAGGGTATTTATTTTATTTGTATCCAGCTGTTCCATAGCCACCGGTGCACAACTGTAATAAAAATGTTAAAGTAATATATTTGTTTTAAGGCATTTGAATGTTTTCTTCGTTTTATTTTCGTATTTTGTTCCAGTAATGTTTATTCAAATGTGAACAATATTATCTTGTTATCAAGGAATGATTTAAGAAAAACTAAATCAAAGCATTAAGACAAATATGTATAAAACAAATAATAATTACTTTTAAGCTATTAAAATATTTAGCAAACTATGTTTTATATCCTTTAACTTTATGTTCTCAGATTACTATTTTGTAAGATCCAAAGATTTCCTTTAATTCGGTATATTGGTCAGCTGGTTTCATTTGATGATAAATCAGTAACTCTTAGGCATTTAATTTATTTTTGAATATACAAGTTTTATATACGCATAAATAATATCCAAACTTTAAATCATTATGTATTAAAAACCAAATCCAAATTCCAATATACTGCGACTCTTTTTAGTTCCATTATTTAAATCTCTTATATTTTGTATTTAGATGCCCTTTTAAGAATCTTCAAGAGACAGGAGTATCCAAGAAGGTAATGATGGTTTGTATGAGATTTTTATTTTTTTGGGGAGAATTTGATTGAGAATTAGTTGCTACATTTCTTTCCATTTATTCATATAATTTGTATTAGCTTATCAGTTTTTTTAACACATCAGGCTATAGTTATTAGTTAACATATGCAGCTGTATTTATTCGGTAAGACTTTTTACTGCAGAAATAGAAACATTGATATCTAACGTAGCATGTACATTAACCACTTACTTTAGATATATAGTCCCAGTCCCTCGAATATTAACTTAATTTTTTCCTTTTTGCTTTTTATACATATATGTCCTAAATCTTTTAAAAGAAATAAATAAAATGTAAAATTTTCTCAGTCGATCTAAAGCTACTGATAACACAACATCATTTACTTGCTTACCAAATTCAGTGATAATAGTTATCACTTATAACTCCTCATTATAAGTTATTACAAATCATCACACAAAATTATTCTAGCTATCACTACAATCTACGTCAAAACTCTCTGGCAATCAAAGAAATTACCATAACCACATTGTGACTCAAAGAAAAATCTTATAGTATAAGAATTTTATATGGGAAAAAATAACGATAATATATTATAACTTAATACCTTTCGAAATTTTGGTATTAAGTACATAACCACTAAAAAGTAAAATATAACTCATTCGAAGTGCTTTGAATACACCAATTGTAGTTTTATAAATGAAGATAGTTAATAAAGTCTATAAACATGAGGAAGAGAACAGCCTAAAACTTAATGTCATGTTCACGTTCACACAACTATATCATACCAAATAAGTAATTTATATAGAGAGCACATACATTGAATGTTACGTTTGAACATAACTAGTGAACATAACAGAAGACTAACTCCACGGCTCAAGCGTTTAAGTCTAAAAAACATATAAACATAATTAATGGCTAACAACCTATTATGGATTCTAGTGCTTTTCATACCATTTCAATCATCACACTAACTCTAAACTAAAATTTATCAATTTGGTTCCTCAACACCAACCACAATCAAAATTATCAAATTTTACATACTTGATAAAAACATATTATTAAACTCTAATACAAAATATCAATTAAATAAACAATTATAACTTTAAATCTTCTACACAAATATTCAACTTTATAAATTAACTTCAAATAAGATAGTCTGTTAAGGAAGAAAAGTATTATAATATCTCTTGAACTCCTATACACAAGAATATTCAGAGAACTTATAAAACGCAAAAATTAAAACATAATCATTAGTTTGAAAGAAAGTTTATAGTTCTCAACCGATCAAAGATATGAAATTCAAAAGTTCACACATGAAAAGGAAATAGATAAAAAAAGGATTA